AAAAGAAAATGAATTTTGCAGAAGAAATTTCAGAAATTACCTCTAACCCCAGCGTTATTAACCAAAGCATCGATCCTCCCAAACGCTTCCCAAGCCTGCTGTACGGACATCTCAATGGTGGCTGCGTCGGCACAGACGTCGAGTTCCAGAGCGACGGCTCGGCGACAGGCATTACTCTCAGGTTCGGAGGAGCGACAAGCGAGGCGATTGATCTCATCGCAGAGCTCCCTGAGCCGGTCGACGCGGCGAGCGGCTGCGATTATCCGGCATCCAGCTTTGGCCAAGTCGAGAGCGAACTCGCGGCCTAAGCCGGAGGAGGCACCCGTGACCAGGACGACCTTGTCGGTGAGGTCGTTCCACAGCTCCAATTGCACCGCCATTTTAGAGTCTGATGATGGTTGTCCAGAGAGCGCCGGTGGCGAATTTATAGGTGGGTCAAAAGCTAGGCCGAATCGAAGGCGATATTAGTGGAGGTACACGTAGTAGAAGTCTGGCACTACAGGTGTCCAGTCGATATGCAAAATGTCGGCTGCGCCGCAGCCGTAACGGGAGTCCCATATCTACAGCTGCGGCACTGCCCACAGCTACCGAATAAAGTGCCCGCGGAATTTAGCCTACGTTTGGATAGGGGAAGTTGGGGGGGCGGGGGGGTGGGAAGGAGGGAGAGATGTCTCCTTCTCATGTTTAGGTTAACAATTTTAGAGAAGGGGAAGGGGGATGGAGGGAGATGGAAATGGAACCCCCCGCTCTTTCTGTTTTCAATCTCAATAATTAGTTTTATATATGAGAATCCTGTGTTACAGTTCGGACTGTACCGGACTGTAACATCAGGACCATAAAAAAAGGGAGTAGGATTCTTACCCCTTTTTTATGGTTATGATGTTACAGTCCGGTCCGGACTGTAACACACTTTTTTTTGTTTATATATTTAATTTTTTTTTACTTTTAAAAAAAATAAATATATTTTATGTTAATTATTTTTTAATTAATGAATTTTTTAATTAAGTAATTAATTAAAAATAATATTCTTCTCTCACTTCTACATTTTTTCAATTTAAATAAAATCAATACCAGTTTTTTCCTTCCCGACTCTTTTCTTTCTCTTCGCTTAATTTTTATTCAAACGAACACTTGCCGATTGACGTCGACCTTCGGAGCTACAGCGGTCAGCCGAAACCGAATCACTGGTTAACTAAGGTACGTTTTGTTTCGTTTTAATTTTAGGTTTTAAGTTTTTATTTTTTTTTATATATATTTAACAATTATTACAAGAATCTTTGATATTAATTTTGATTTTTTTAAAAATAATTACAGTTGCAATCTTAAAAACATCACTGTTTATGAAAAATTCCAAAAATTAACTATTAAATTTAATATTTTATTTATATAAATCATGTTTATTAATTTTTAAATTAATCAAATATATATAATTAGTTTATTGATTATAAAAAATTTAATATTATTAAATATATATTAAAAGTTATAAAATTTTTAATTAAATAATATAAATATTATATCAATTTAAAAATTAATATATATGATTTATATCAATGAAATATTAAATTTAACCATTAATTTCTAAAGACAATTATTAGATGGTAGTATTTTTTAAGTTAGAATTCTAATTTTTTTAATCAAAACTAATACTTAATTTTTCCTTATTATATTTAAAAATCAAAATTTGTCATAAAAATTTAAATTTATTAAATTTAATTTAACTATAATATTAAGTATTAAATATATAAAAAAATAAAAATCTATTGTCAATTTTCCTATTAAGTGGGTATTTCACCTTCACATTTCTCTTAACTCATTCTACTAAGGGTAATTCAAAGTTTTATTAGAGTGACATTCATGATTCTACTAAAAATCATTCAAGGTTTCATTAAAATGTTATTTATTTTTTTTATTTAGAGTTTATTTAGTATAACAATTAAAATTCAACAGATAGTGGAAAGTTAATAGCGAATAATGGATAGCGATAGTGAGTAGCGAGTGGTAGTTAGCGGATAACGGATGGCGGATAGCGAAAAGTGAATGACAGACAGTAAATAGCAGATTCGATAAATATAATTATTTAACTATACTAGTTAACTATTGTTATTTAACATTAAATGACTAATAAAGAATGTTTAAAAACAAATAAGTGTATTTTTTAAAATATTTTTATTTTTTATGCTTAAAATTATTAATTTTATAAAAATAATAATAAGAAAATAAATAAATAAAATTAATTATAATAATGTAATTACATCCTCATTTTTATTTTTAACAAAGAAAAAATTATATTATTTTTAAAAAAAAATTAATCATTTTGTCTAATTAGTAAATTTTGTTTTTTAAGATAATATATTTTTAATTATAAATTAATATACAAAAGAAAAATATTATAATCACTTAATGTTATTAAAGATAAAAAAAACAAAATTGAAATTTATTAGATAAATATTAATTAAAAAATGTGATCAAAAATTAAAAAATTAAAATGGATAAATTTGTCAATAAAATTAAAAAATTTAATCCACTAATGATTTGGTACAAAAAGTTATATAAACTAGTTTTTTTAATTTGCTAATAGTTTCGATGCTAATCCCAAATCGCTAAATAAAAATTTTATTAAAGATCTTGTTTGTAGTAGTTGCAAAATATATAAGTTTACCAAATACTTATATTTAATGATTTAAATAAAATCACTAACCACTATCTCAAAATCACTATTTCAAACAGACCCTTAGTTCTATTAAATAATTAATATAAGCTGACATTCTCTTAATTTATATATAGATTTACAAATTTGTACAATGGGTTAATAAAATAGTGCACCATAAAATAAAGAATTTTTTTAACTTATACCCTAACCTCTAAAAACATAGATTAAAAAAAATCTTAAAATAAAATATCTTCACTTTTACTTTGTTATTCTGTTACTTTTTATTTTATAATAAAATTAAAATTTTAAACCGAAATTATAATAAACATAACTTAAATTATCATATGTTAATTTTTAATAACTATTAACAAGTACTAGATTTGGGCAATTTAATAATTATTATTAAAATCTAGTTATATTGGGTCTTGTGTTGGGTTTGCAGTTTTTGGACGCCAATACCCAAACTCGGAACTTGCCCCGCTTGGAATTTGATTAGGGATGTTTTAATGATAGATATATAAGTGTAATAAATATATTTTTTTATAATTAATTTTTATTAAAAATGTAAAATTTTTTTAATATAAATCTTTTAAAATATCTTTATATTTTCAAATAAATATTTAATAAATCTCTTAAGAAAATTATTTATAGAAACTTAAGGCTCATTAATTTAAATTAATACCTTTTTCAAATTCTTTTTATGAGCAGAACACATATAATTCTTATGGCACTTAAATATGAAATCAATTTTCCAAAGAAACAAAAATGTTTCATGCGCTTTTTGCTGTAGAAAGATCGCAAGACATGAGAAAGAAAACAAAGTTTCAAGCCTCACGTTCGGGTTGATTGGAACCCACAAGCCTCCATTTTTCTTGTTTTTCTGAACAAGGACAATTATTGGGGGGAAAGGGAAATGGGTTAACCCTTCAGCTGAAGAAACTCCAATAGTCCGTAGATCAAGTTTATATATTGCAGATGGTTAAATGATAGATTTGGTCCCTCAACTTTATAGTGTTGCACTTTTTTGGTCCTTCAATTTTTTTTGCACTTTTTTTATCCCTAAACTTTAAGAATTACACAATTTTGATCCTTCCATCAGTTAATTCACAGCTGGCAGTTAGATATTCTAAAATGGCACCTTTTTAATGACATGGCAATTACACGTTATACAATTTGATTACATGTACAAATAAAATGCCAAATCAGATGCCAAATTAGATTAGCATTTATATTTTTAATAAAAAAATAAAAAACTATAAAGTTACCGTAATACCCTTGTCTTCCTCTTTTGTTCCATCTTCTTCCTTTCTTTCTTCCTCTTCTTTCTTCTTATGTGTGAACCCAACAACTGCTGGGTTCCCTTGAACCCAGATTAGTTGGGTTTGAGGGAACCCAGCAGATTTGGGTTCCGTCGAACCTACCTTGGGTTCCGTCGAACCTACCTCGGGTTCGATGGTCTGGGTTTGCTAGGTTCTGTTGAACCTAGCTCGGGTTCGATGGTCTGGGTTCACTGGGTTCCACTGAACCCAAATCTGCTGGGTTTAGTGGAACCCGAGGAACCCAATGAACCCAAAACCTGGTTCTGTTCTCGGTTTGGAAGAGAAAAGCTGAGCAGTATTTGGTCGACTCTATCATTCCATACACAAGTATCAACTAGATTAATTCCAATGTTTGCTTTCTTTTGTCCATCTTGCATCCCTGTTAGAATTGTTTAAAGAGCATGTCTGATTAGGTTCTTTAGATAGGTTTCTACCATGGTTTTTGAAAAGGATAAAAATGGAGACTAACTTGGGCAAAAGTAAAGGCAGACTACATTCTCTAATTTCTGTATTCTTTTTCCCCCAAAATCATTTTTGTTTCTAGCAATATGTGTTAAAATAATGCTAAATTCGCTGCAGATTTTTCTTCATTGCAACCTTATTAACTGGTTTTTCAAAGCTTCTGCATTGTCATTTCTCAAGCATTTGGAGCCTGCTAATATGTATTTTGTAAGACTATAACTTTTGCTTGTTTTCATTAGTCGTAACTCATAAGTTGATTTCACATTTGCATGTATTTTTGTTTCCTTTTCAAGTCCTTATTTTAGTATATGTGGATGAATATTGCATTATAGATCCATGTTTTCTCAGTTTCAATATTGATTCTTGATATTAAAGTCGCGATGAAACCAGAACAGATCTGGGTTCGCGACGAACCCAGAACCTAGAACAGATCTGGGTTCGCGACGAACCCAGAACAGATCTGGGTTCGCGACGAACCCAGAACAGATCTGGGTTCATGACGAACCCAGTCATGGCCAAGAAGGGGGATGAGTTGGAAAGGAGAAGAGACACAGTGACAAAGAGAGGACAAATGGCTAGAAACACTGACAAAAAATTAAAAATAACAATTAAATCTGAGTTGACATGTCCACCTAAGCTAATTATATGATTTGTCATTGACATGTCATTAAAAAGGTGTCATTCTGGAATATTTAACTGCCAGCCATGAGTTAACTGATGGAAGGATCAAAATTGTGTAATTCTTAGAGTTGATGGATCAAAAAAGTGCAAAAAATAATTGAGGGACCAAAAAAATGCAACTTTATAAAGTTGAGGGATCAAATTTAGCATTTA